TGTCAAATGACGCACCGTTTTCAGTAAAAGTAAATGCATTTTCAGTAAAAGTTTTTTTACAAACACTTTCAACAATAAGTTCAGTCTAATAACCTTAATTTAAATGAAATTTTCCTCAACGGTAACTGAGTTTTGTCTAAAACTTCTTCTTATTCTGTCAGTGAAGTCAGTGAGACGCTTTCGAACCACTCTTGTTCGTAAACTATAGATGAAGGGGTTTAGAAAACTGTTTATGAGGCTTAACGCCGTGGTGACCTGCGCAGCCCCATACGTCTGACCAGATATTCCCAGCTGCGAAAACAATCTATTTGATATAATTGCCGGCAAAACGCTAAGAATATACACGCCCAGAAGAATTAGGCTTGAACAAATGACATGCTCGTCTTTTTGGACAAGTTTCACATAATGCTCATCTGCCCCTTTCTTTATAGTCATCACATCTGTAAACTCGGCTGCCAGTGATTCTTCAAATTGCCTTTTTAGTGGATTTTCTTGCACGGACCCGGGCTGATCACTTGTTGTAAAACTTGTTTCCACGGTTTTTGAACCGGTTATTGTACTGACACTGTAGCCAGTAACGTAGGGTTTTATTGCCAGCCGTTGTCGCATAAGCTTTCTAAACACGGTGATATAACTGACTAACATAACTATGCCGCAAATCAGAGCCAGCGGTACCAAAGCTGACACGGTAACTTCGCCTTGTCCTTCGTGGTGACACTCAATAACGAACGGGTACTCCTTCTCTCTCAAGACATCCAGCGCCGAAACTCCAAACCCTACCACCCACGGAAAAACAATCCCGGCTTTCATTGTGGCTTTACTTATCTTTCGGTGTGGGTGACAGATTTTATACGACCGGAGCACGCTTATGTTGGCAAGAATGACCATGTTGACCGCAGGACCGAATATGATGCTTCGGACTATATCACATTTTGAGAAGAACGAGCCACCCCACCACCATACCAGTAATATGGAAAACGGTGCTGTAAAGACGCATATGATCAGATCGATCACTGCCAGATTAACGTGGAAGGAATTGTCCCAAGTTTTCAGAATGGGCGTGGTTAGAACGATGATTACCACACTGATGTTTCCAGGTGTTCCGAATACGAATGCCAAAATTGCCAACACAGTCACGGTGATTCTGGCCCATTGTGTGTCGTCATACATTCCGAGTCCATCTGAAAGTCCCGTCTGGTTGTCAATGAAAAGTGACATATTCACTTCTTTCTGGTCCATAATCAGGTTGAAGATACACACCAAAACCCAACTGCACCTTTTTTTCCGCCGCCTAAATTGAAATATCTCAGCACGACTTGCGGAGGTGCGACTGTTTCGATTCCTTGAATATCCAAGTTACCATTCAACGCTGCTGATTGGATGAACACATTTTCATACCAACTGCATACAGTATATTCATAGGTGTTTCATCGGAGACTCACGACGTCAACGCAGTAATTGGGCACCAACAGATATGAGGCTACTAAAGTGGCTTCCGAATCATCGATTTAGCCGATATCGGATAAACATTTTCTTTAAAAAAAAAAAAAAAAAAAAAAAAAAACAGTTGGTTCAAGGCACCCAACTTCATCCTTCATATTTGCCAGTTAACTCTGTCATTGCCAACAACTAGTATTTATATTTGTGCATACCATCTACTTTTGAAAACAAGGCAGCAAAGCCGTCAAATGGACAGACATAAATGTAAAACCTGATACAGTGCCACCGGTATCTTACCTTACTAAAAGGCCGCAGGTTCTGTCTGCCCTGCGCAGCAGGATCGGACAATAGAGCCCGCATGATTATTGTAGGTCATCCTTATTGAAAACCCAAATTAGTCTGCTCAGCGAACACACATTGCTCTTTTTTATTGCCTCATGCTAGTTTTCCTTTATCGCTAATGCCAAGTAGTTCATTGTATGTTTTAAAACATGGCAAATTGCCTGGCGAGAAACTTTTTAACCTTCATTTTACATTTATGCAGTGGTGTCTTTCATTCGTAGTCCTTCTTCTCATAGGCAAAATATACGCAAACGGATATGATCGCTAAAGAGGCATCTTGGAATAGTGATGGTTTTTTAAAATAGTGACTCTCGATTTATACCGTTCCCTTGGCAGGTGACACGATGATACAAAATTGGTGTAATAAACATGTCATGTTTTAAAAACACCTTATGCCATTAGAGAAGAGAGTAACCCAGATAGGCACACATACCTGTAGGCACGTGCCAGTCGATTGATAAATTGGTACAATTTAATACTTTGGATTGAGAAGCGCCATCAGGCTACCAACATATATGGTAATATTTAACAAATAAGTAAGTTTATCTACACCGTGAGATGATATTTGGAGAAATTAATTTTAAGGCAGGCGTTTGATTTAAAGGTTACTCTCAGGATTTTGTTTGTCATCAAACTACCAAAAATGTTTTTTTTTTGTTTGTGTCTTATTATTCAACAATTCATCTACCATTTGCTGATTAAAANTGTTAACGGTGTTGCATATATGCTGAAAAATGAAAAAACAGCATAACTACTAAAATAGTGGCCCGATCATGCCGATTTTCGAACTTGACCTGCGTTTTAGTAAGATTGATTATTCCTGTGAGTTTCATGAATACAGGCCTAACGGTTTGCCTTAAAATGTGTTTACAGGGTTGCATATATGCTGAAAAGTGAAAAAACAGCATAACTTATACAATAATGGCCCAATCATGCTGATTTTCGAACTTGACCTGCGTTTTATGAATATTCATCAGCTCTGTAAATATAAAGCCAAAAAGTAAAACTGCCCTCCACTTATCGTGTTTACAAGCAAAGTGCACGGCGCCGGCATCGGCGACGGCGACGACAGACGCAAGTGATGGCAATATGTACAGACACATCTGTGTCTGTACATAAAAACCCTCATAAATGTAAAATGTCGGCGTTCACATTTCTCGATGCTAAGCACAAGCGCAAGCATCTCGGAGCGATTATCGGTAATTTTACAGCTTTCTATTTTGTGAGATGAGTAAGCAATCGGTCTGGGGCTTCACTTCTTCCTCGAACAAGATTTTATCACGAAAATTGGCATAGTTGACCACAAGTGTATAGGCTTCATTGTCGTGCCGTCATTTGGGTTTTTTTAAAATGTTTTTTATCGTTTTAGAGAAATCAACGGTGTTATTAAATTGGCGGTGTTGTGGGTGCTCGGGTAAAGGAGAAATCTGAGAAACCCAAAAGCGCAATTGTGACGTCATTGGTAAAATGATATTTGTGTACATGCAATTCATTTTAGTCAGTGAATCATCCAAGAGTTTTTGTTTAACTAACCTGACAGTACCCTTAACCTCAAATGAACTGAAAAGTGATAATGTTAAGACGACACGTGCTACACAGTTCTCATTGTGTAATGACCAGAGCTTAATTACCTTGTTTACCTGGTAAGCATTAAGCTCACCTGAACAGATAGATAATTATTTTGAGGTGAGGCATGTCCAACAATGAAGCTGATCCAAGAGATTGTTATCCAGCTGCTGAAACAACTTTGTAAAATACTCATTATTATTTTCTTACTTTCATAATAATTATCATCATCATCTTTATTATTAGAATAAAAATAATTATCAATATTATGAAAGTCTATCCTTTAGCACCATTACTGCTGTATGTTTGTACTGTTATAATGTACCAATGACAAGATGTCACGGTAAAAATAATCCTAACTGAACTATTCACCAGTCAACAGGGAGTCAGCTTGTTAAAACCCACGTCATCGACGGCTAATTGGTTTCTCATGAGGGGCTCCAGATGACTGAAAGGAAAAGTGAAGAAAGTAGGCTGCCAGCTTTGACATCATTGGTGTACTGGTAACTTGTGTTCATACCGGTGTCCAGGTATATGGAATCCAGCAAAACATGTCCTCAGCTGCTGTGCACTCGAATTTATTGTCTATAGTCTATGGGCCAAATGCTGAACCCCCCTCCCCCCTTACTTTCAGTCATTATGTTTTTCTGATAGCTCCTCAGCTTTTATTTATAGCTTATTATCCATAAACTGGTGGTGGGTGTGGGTGTCAAATGAAACCTCGATTCACTTCGGAGAGAAAAAACGTTTCAGCATGACGTCCCTGTATGTTCTTTGGGTAATTGCACTTTATCATCCCTGATTTCTAAGGGACGAACGCTTGTTCTTTTAAAGGTTATCTACCTCTCCTTATACACGGCAGCTGATATAACAATTATTTCAACTCCATTATTTCCTTGTCTCACAAAACACCTTCATCAGAGAATAAGGCTACAGGTGTTATAATTGCCTCTACCTAGGGTAGGATAACAGTGCATTTTGTTTGCTCATCAAATTCATAAAAGAAACAACAGCACGCCTAGCCCATGCTCAATTTGACTTTGGGAAGAGACAATACGACAATAGGATTATGCATAAACATACATAGGGTGCCCACGTGTCAGGACCCGTATTGAAAGATGCCTTCAAACTGTTGCCACAAAACACCTTCAAAGTCAAACTGTTGCCACAAAACACCTTCAAAGTCAAACTGGTGCCACAAAACCCGACCAAATGCCACCATAGTTTCAAATATCATAACCTTAACAAATAGCAAAGGGCACCGTTTCCTGTTTCAAAAAAAAAAAAAAAAAAAAAAAAACAATGTCTAAAGCCAATGTCTAAAGGTAGATGCATAGAGCAGAAATATGGACATGATAAAAGATCTAGGAAAAAGAACAGAAAAAGAAAAGTTAAAACATGGACACTCAGTGGATTCAGAGGTGAATATAGGAGATAAAATGACAAAAATATAAAGGCCAATATGCAAAAAGATAAAAACAAGACATCACACAAAGAACTTCCATTTACCAAGGGTCTTTCTGAGCGCTAACAAAGTCCATTAAACCATATCCTTGTTTAAAAGTAAAATTCATGTCTGTCAGACACTATCACGATTCCGTGTTGTTCAGTTGTCACCATAGTGGGTGTAGTCAAACAACAAGTACACCATCTAACATTTCAAATAATACATTTATTTCTGAATATGACGTACAGATGCCAATTGGTGTATCAATGCAATTATAAAACAAGTGTTGCAACAAGTGAAGGCGAAGATAACACATCAAAACTTGAACTCCTCCTCGTTAACCATTAATTTCATGCTTCATGGACTGGGAGTGGAGGGAAAAAAAAACTAGAACAGGACTCAGTGAAAACCCCTGCCAAGGTAGCTCAATTCTCATTAATTAATGTATCAACACCAAAACATACTCAATTTACAGCTAACCCATTTCTGACCCATCCCGTAAATTTTTATCAAAATCCATCCATAACTGCATGAGTTTCATTGTTCACAAAGACGCCATAAAGGCAGAAACAATTATTACTTCCTTGAAAAATCCCAGGTGTGCCGGCTTGGGTTCCATTACAATCGACCACAAATATACATCATAACACCATCACGATAAATGTCTCCATTTCCAATTAGATCAGCACTGTAACTCTTGTGAACTCATGGTGGAATAATGTTGAGCTTCACATTACCTCATCTCATTTGTACCATATATTCTACACATATCCATCAGACAACCAGTTTCTCATTTCCTGGTTTCAAGCCTTCTAAACATCCTCTCTGCTGAATTCTACAGAAAAGATACTTATATTTCATTCTCCCATTAGTTTTTTTTATTCACAACTAATGTGTGGAAAATTTCCATTGAAAAAAAAAGGGGGAAAAATATTAACATTCTATTCAAAGAAATTACAGTCAAATATATGGAAAAAAAAATTCAAGCAAAAATTCTACTCAATATTTAAGACAAAGACGAATTTAAGTTTGAACACAGAATTAAAAAATACTTTTGGAACCAACTACAATGCATTCACCTAATATATCATTGTGCAAAGATTGAACTTGAACCATTCAGCTGTCAAGAAATGATTGATACCTTTTTCCTTGACAGGTTGAATAAATAAACTCATTTTCATCAGCATTGGAATGAAACCGACCTTTATCATATCTGAATTGATGAAATTAACATTTTTACAACTCTCTGCCCAAGGATCATTATAAGGAATAATGATCCTTATTATCCAAATCAGAAGCCACTAAAATATAAAACCGTCTTGCAGCTAATTCTAAAAAAAGTGATGAACAATATGTTACAAACACACATCTCTCTCTTCATGCAAGTACATCAAGTGTAATTCCACACTTGGACATCATTATGAAACCATATTGGTTATAACTTGAAATTCATCATAAATGTTGTCAAAACTAAAACTGCTCATCTTAATTTTAATTTTTTTTGCCATAAATTATAAAATATTGTTAAATAAACTATGAATAAAAATAGGCATACTATCAACTTTTTATTTAAAAAAAGGCACTTTATTCTAAAACACAACAAGTTACATCTGAAATTTAGCAGATGAATAAAAAGTACCAGTCACAATTAGTTTTTTGGTTAACATGCAAAATGGTAATTCAAAACCTGAATAATTCAACCCCGTGTGTAGGTAAAAATTATCTATTTGAATAATTAAAGTTTGTCTCATACAACTCGTACAAAGAATGCAAAGCAATGCTTATCTTGAATGAGTACCTCATATTCACTAAAAATATTTAAAAGAAGGACAACTTCACCGTTTTCTTCAGTTTTAAGACAAATCTTGTCTTTCTAACTGGCTAACTAATGAATGTGAACAAACAACCTGGAAAATATCCAATCATTTCAAACACAGACATGTAGTCACATGTATACAGAATCTACTTCATCTAAAACATCAAATTTTTTTAATATTTAGCCCTCCTAGTGACACACAACACAACAATCTAGTTCTTTAACTCAACGCTACCTTGTAGCCCCTATCTTACAAAGCTTATTTCTATGACTTCCTTGACTACAAAGCTACTTCTTTCACCACCCTTTTACTACCTACTTCCTATAAAAAAAAAAGGCCTTAAAATAAATACTTCCTACAATTTTTGGCTCCACACTGGCAAACCATGCGAAACGTTTCAGTGGCAGGCACGGGGTCTTCAGCGCCCTCAGAGGGGTAGAGAGATCCAGGGCTGGCGCACATGGTGATGATCTCCGAGCCTTCCTCTGTCACCGTCGTCTCCAGGATGTCGTCAGCCGTGGGAAGAGCACAACTGGGCTGAGCTTGTTGGCTGGTATCCCCTATGAGAGGCAGAAAATAAAAGTAAGCCTTGATATCTTGTGTGCTTTTCTAATTACTACTTTAAACCAAGGTAATTTAGCCAAACTTTCAGGAAAATACTAAATATTTTATTGGTTTTGTCCAAACATATTTCTAATTGAGTTAAAATCTTCATTAGCCTATATTGTAGGGCTATTTGGAAAAAAAAAATAGAGTAATGCTAACCAGTTTCCCCAGGGCTTGAAGACCTAAAAGATATGAATCCAGCCTGAATGCAGTCTGGCATGTTATGGTCGTAAAACTTACCAGTCATCATGTAATCAAAAGTGAGCTCTTCTCCTTTGGCAATGTCTCTCTTGGCAAACAGGCATATTCTAGGTAATCTGGGGTCCAGAGTATTAATCCATACTCCATACACTGCCAGGTTAGGGTCACACTGGGAAACAAGGAAATAATAGTTCAGTATGAGAGAGAGAGAGAGAGAGAGAGAGAGAGAATGACAGAGGAAAGGAAGGAGGAGGAGGGGGGGGGCAGGGAGAGAGTGCATAAACATTGTTCAAAACACTGACATATTACCTAGCCAAATACTAGTAAGAGTAGTCAGAATATTAATGTACCAGCACCAGCTATAGAACAGAAGGGGACTCGATTGTCACAAATCAATTATGATTTTAACAATTTTTTACCACTGAACCTAATAAATCATTTGAAAGATCTGTAAACTGAGGGTTATGAATAATCTGTAAACTGAGGGTTTGAGCAAAATTAATCAACTATTAAATAAATACAAAGATAAAGTATTAATTCTTTTTACAAAGAAACAAGAAGGTATCGACAAAATATTTACTGAGTGGTTAACAAAATGCGAGACGTTTCCATAAAAGCCTGCGTCTACAGTATAGGGACAGTCTCCATCATTATAATCCAGATCAAACAGGTATGTCCTCCCTTCAGCATCATAGACTCGGCCACGTTTCTCAGCTTCCTCATTTGTGATCACCTGAAATTTAAGAAAAGCATCAAAATGTCTCATAAACTGATATCACTTCACAGTAAGAATAGTGGGGTACCTTTCAAGATACTGAATGAGTGGAGGACCTGCAATGCAAGAAATTTACCAATTCTCCCAATTCTGTGCTGTTCCAAAGTATTAGTTTCCATTGGTCTATGTTTTCATGTGATTTATTATACATGTATGCATTTTCACATAAACCTTGCCAGTCCAAGGAAAATGTATTAACAAAATTTTTTCAGGTCCACTGGCATTTCAAGCGGACATGACTATTTGGACAGGCAGTTTCCCTATGTCTGTAACTATATACTTTTTTGTAGTCTAAAGTATGTATACCATTCTGAACAAACAATCAAGGATTTAAAACTTAGGGAAGTCCTACAGTTACAAGGCCCATTATTTACAGAGAAACTTAAGGTAAACACAGCAAGAACAGGACACAACTTTGTCCTTTTTTGATTATATATACACCTACCTCGCCTACATACTCCATCACAAAGGACCCCTTCTTAATCTTCTGCTTGGTCTTCACGCCCCAACCTCGACCATTGTGGGTACGAAAAATGCTGACCTTAAACTTGCGTCCATGCTGCACGACGCGATTTGGGCACTCAGGGGGGCACGCACACCTCTTGTTGCACTCGTATATGGGGGTGCCGGGGGGCACGCGTAGACGTCCCGACGATGGATGATATGGGTGACTGGCACCACTGTTAGCAGGGCAGCACTTTTTCTTCTCGTCGGCACAGTCGGTGCATTCACACCCTACTATAGGGTCCTGAGGAATAATCACCCCTTCTCCGGCCTTGTAGTCATCAATAAAGATAAAGTTATCAGGGGGGCCTTCTAGATCAACATCATTCTCTACCAATATAGGGGCAGGGTCTGTATTTTTAGCATTGAGTTCACGCTCCCAGTCCTTGAGAGCTTTCTGTATGTCCGCCTTCCTCTGTTTGTACCACTTGCTGTTTTTGGAGTATGTCTGCCCCCCTCTGCGGGGTTTGTGTGGCTTGCTGTGCTTCGTCATGGCACTCTGGACCCGAGACAGGCCTTTGCCTTTGGTGGGGCTCTGAGAAATCCTGAGTAACTTAAGAGGTGATATGGTTCTGTTTTTGGAAATCTTGGAGAAGAGGTCTTGCAGCTTTCTTCGCTTGCTGTAGCTCTGGTCGTCGTCTGAGTCAGCCTCTCGTTTTCGCTTGGAAGGTTTGTTTAAGTTTTCTTTGTATGCCTCTAGTATTTCTGGGCAATTGAGGTTTTCTTCAGGTTCCCAAGTGTTGTATGATAATGGCCATCCTCGCCACTTGATGAAATAATACGTCACACCCTAAAATATATAATTTACATATTACGACAGGATTTTCTATAAGACTGATGCTAAATGACATGGGAACAAAATCCAAATGGTAAATACTGGTACTTCAACAATTTTTCTGATTAAGCTGGAAAAAATGTCTTCCACAGCTATCAAATTATGACACTTTTTTTATTTCTTTTTCCTTCTTTCAAGAATCAACTTCATACCCATGATTAACTTACATCTTCTTCTGCATGGTCCAAAATGGTCTCTACTTCAAAGTCATCATCACTGTTCCATTCTATTTCTCCATGCTCCACCACTAATACAGAATACATATACATCATCTATAAATCTTAATATGATATAAAACTCTTGAATAAGTCTGATGTGGCATTTTCAGTTATAACTTCACATTACTTACTTAGGAAGCATTGACATTTTTGTTCTGATAAATATACATGGGGTGTTTGAAAATAACATAATGTTTCAGTTATTGAGGTGATTGGCATAAATATATATTTGAGGAACACATGAAAACTGACCCCCCCCCCCCCCCCAATGGCATCAAAATGTTGACGATGCAATGTCGAGGGGGGAGGGGTCATCAAAATTTCTTGGTATCAGGTTGCTGTTGGGAGTGAAACCCCTTTCCCAACACTTGACCAACTTAATGAAGCAGAGAAACTATATTAACAGTGAAACTAAATTAACCACTTTCAGTACACAATCGAAGAAAGAGATCTTTTAAAATGCTTTTGAATTTTAAAAAGATTTAAATTCTCCATGGATAGAATTTAGCAGTTCAAAAGCAGCAATCTACTGAGAAAAATGCCGCACTTACACTTATGGATCAGTTTTTGGGCCATCCATGGTCCCAGTTTCTTCAACATCAGATAAAGCAGGTACTCGTTCGTCTCCTGAGAAAATTTAAGATTTACTTTCTGGCATGCACGTTGGAGATCGGGGATGTTGCACAGGCAGGCCACCTGTACTTTCCTGCACTCAACCTCCATGTTGTCTTCTCAGCATAAAAGGTATGCTTGATTTAGTCCTACAGGCACTGTTGCAAATTCAGAGGGTCAATTAAATCAATTACTTGGCCAATTAGGTCATATAATAATAGAAAATTGCGCCAAAATATTAAAGATGAATTTCCCGGTTGCAGCCATTATTATACCAGCTGATTGGTTGAAATGCATGTCACGTGACAGTCTTTTGCACTAAAATTTGGCGAAAGGTGGCAGCACTTATCGACCATAGCCAAGACGGGGGCAACATTATAATTCAAGTGAATTTTTTTCTGTGTGAAAATAAGACTTACGCCTATTTTATATCCTGGAGCATACAATTGTTGCAGTTACAAGTTATTCAAAACTATACTTGGACAAACATAATTTAATATTTTTTCTTTACATCTTATTTTTGAACAAGGATTAAGTAAAATTATAGCTATTGATTAACATGATTCTCCTTCTCGATGAAGTTCATCCAAAACCATGCAAAATATAGCAAAATAGTTTATTATATCAATAAATATGATAAAAAGAAATTTCATATGTTCTGTTACAAATTTTGCTTTCTGCACCACTGGTTTGTGAAAGCATATAATCTTACAAAGTCCAACTTCATTTCCCTTAATTTTTCCTTTTTTGATCAATAGATTCTCTACTTATTTTTTTCTGAATTAAAAAATAAATTAAACAATGGATAAACTGTGACAGGTTAAAACATTTCATAGACAGCATTTTTTCAAGAAAAGTTGCTTTAACTATAGTTTTTATTAAAAGAAAATCAGTTCTAGGTAAACAGAATTTTGTCTTGTCATCTGGTTTCACATCATTTTTATCAGTCTGCCAAAAATCTTCTTTTCTTTGTAGTGTTCATGTAGGGCCTGAAAACCCACTCAACATCTGCGCTGTCAGCATTATCAAGTGTGCCTAGAATGATCTGGTACACTGAAAAACAAAACAGAACAAATTTAAAAAAAAAATTGAAATGTGCTGAACTCCAACAAAGAACTTGCAATGAAAGTATGTCATTTTTTATCACTTTTCTCACAAAATAATACAAAAGAAAATCATATTAGGAGTGCACTGCATTATTGCTGGTCATTGCTTGCTTCTATAGTTGGGAAAATAATACTCAGAAATGTTTTAAGAAGGTCAAAAGTAAGATTACAGGTTACCATAAACCAACAGTTCAGTTTCAGAAAACAAATCTATGAAGGTTCATAATATTCTACTTTAATTGAACCTTGTAAAAGTGAATGAAATACTGTTAATGATATCAAGTTTTTAAAGAAGATACAAATACAAATCAATTGTAAAGAATAAATGAAAACGTTTAGCTTCAAAGACATTTATTAAAACTTACATTTCATTTCAAATCTTGGCCCTACTTCAGATAGTTCCACATCATTGCGCTCTTTCTTCTTATATGTGTGATGCCTAAAATAAGTAATCAGCAACTGATATGTATTTCAGTACATGACAATAAATAAATAACCGAATAAAGTTATCATATCCTTTTTTAAACTTAACAAAAAAATAAATAAATTTATGTAAAATCAGTGTAAGACCATAATTGCAGCACAGTGTTTGTAACTGTACACACCTAAATGATATATAATCCTCCTGGTTGGCAAATGTGATCACCCTCCTGCTGTCTTCTTTTGGCACAGGGAACAAGTACTTCAATATGTTAGATACCTGGAACAGGTTACAACATCAATACCATGTCATTTCTTCAGATAGGAAGAATAAAAACAATAAAGACAAGCTTAAAGAGGGAAATACAGCATAAAAGGACACAGAGAAAGACAATACAACAGCTGGAGCTGAACAACAGAATGAATAAGATATAAAGAAGCTTATTCTCAGTCACTAGTGCAATATGCAGGTAAATAAAGAACTTCAAGTTAAATGCATTTGAGGTCTGCAGCATCTCCTACTTACTCTCTGCCCCAACTTTGAGGTGAAATTGTTGAGAATGAGGTGTGGGTAGGCCTCCGACATCTTCCCTACGTCAGGAATATCATGTCTCATCACTACATTGGATAGTGTAAAGTAGGCTGTGGGGCCATAGGGGAGGTGGCACACCACTAGCCCATCTGAAAGGAGAGAAATTCTTATATATCTTTAATTATTAAGAGGGGAGGGGGTAGGTGTGTGTGACAAGTGTACATTTTTTTTCTTTTTATGGGGAGGGGGCTTAAACCAATTTTAAAACAAATTTACCAAACAAATGATAAATAACTGAAAAGTAAAGGGAATATTAATTTTTATTTATATAAAGTAAAAGTAAGTTCCCTCCAGCATTTGGCAAACACTAGATATGACCACATGAGCCCAGATTGACTGAATTTTTATTCACATTTATGGAGAGCAGAATAATAATCCCTGTCTCAATATTGTACTTGTTCCCATGACTGACCTGGATTTCCTCTGTGCTCGTGTAGCAGAATGAGATCTGTGACATCATTTGAGCGACAAGCCTGTACCAACTGCTTCATCTCATAGTTACCTCTGTTGATGCGCTGGGAGTTGGGGAATATAAGCCGAATTTCCTGAAGAGAAGCACACCAAATATGCAAGTCAAAAAGTGTCACATTTTTTCTTTCTGTTTAGTAATATGTATCAATCACTCGTTTCCATTTTGAGCACCTTTCTGTAGTATTATAACAAATAAACAAACAGTAAAACTTTAAATTTCTCTTTAAAAATGTGACAAATGTTTTTCTTGTCACTATTAAAAGCTTATAACTTTATAAGGTCCACACCTAAAAGAAAACTGCTGCAAAAATGGCCTTTTTTTTTTTTTTTTTTTTTGCAAAATGTTAAAAGATTTAGAAGAAGATCAAGTTAATGACCTGTAGACCTGCTTGGCTGCACTGCAGGAAATAAAAAATGGGATTTCTTTTAATACTGCTTCAATTTTAAAACAAAATATTCCAGCTCAATTTCAAAGAAAATAACTGTACACCAAATAGATATTAACTAGGAGTTTGTGATCTCCCCTCAATCTGCAGAACTCCAAAAGTTTAATGCACTTCACTTCACTTACTTTAGCAAACTGTTTCAACCTGGAGCTGGGGTCTCTGGAAGTGGTGATCATCAGTTTGGGATCTTCCACTCCAGCCCACCTGTATTCATCATCTATGTGAGTAGTGACACCTGGTGGAAAAAACAAAAGTTAATTCATTGCGAAATGTGTGTGTGTGCGTGTGTGTGTGTGTGTGTGTTTGTGTGTGATAAATTTCTGTATGTTTGTTTCCTCTACATTATTGGACAATATGCCTGGTACTATTACCAAATGAACAAAAGTTAAACAAACAATACTGGACAATCTGATGGTTTGAGAAAAATATTTGCTTTTATCCCAAAGATGTCCACCTACCTTCCCCTCCCTCGTCCTCCCAGTCCAGGGTCTTCTGCAAGTCCAACGCATCTTTCCTTAGATCAGTGGGAATGACATTATTTTCTGAAAAACATATTGGAAACATCTAAGATAATGAAGCAGATGAAGTGAAAGAAACAAGCCATATGAGGGTCCATTTTGGCACACAACATCAATTTGCAAATTCAAAGTTTCACATCAGAAAAATATGCAACATATATATACCACTGGCAATTAACCTCTACTACATTTATTTTATACATTCATTTTAGGTAAAAAAGGAGAGAGCTATTGATGATCAATCTGTTCTGATAATTTAAATATGTATGGCTTGAAATTATTGACACACAAAAACAAAAGGTAAAAATTTACCATCTAGTGATCTTTTGAGTCTCTGCTTTTTTTCTGCTATAGTTCGCTCGCGCTCTTCTATGGACTTTTTATAAATATACTCCCTTCTCTGCCTGGCTTGTCTTCGTAACTAGAAAAAACAATAAGTTTAAAATCTTATCTTTTTCATTAACAGTTTTGAAAACAAGGATGCAAGGTAGTGTTATGCTGCTATTTTTATTTTTCTTTTCTGAAGACCCCCAACTTTACATTTTACAATGAAAATCACAAATTCTGTTCAGTTTAAATTCTGTTACACTGGAATGCAGCAGTAGTAAACCCTGAAAACAACACTAACTTCTGAAGTAAAGAAGTAAAGTTTTGTTACACCCTGTACTGCACTATTATGATTGTACTACCACTACCACTACATGGCAGATGAAACTTGTCCCATTTCAGTCTCAAGTCAAAATGAACAAACATCACTAAGTTCATGCAGTGAAGTCTTCACTCTTCACAGTGACCAGTCCAAAATAAACATTTTTATATAAAAAAAAAGCTTTACGGGGCATCGCTTAGCATTCAAATCGTACACCGGTTGTTAAATCTTTTGTTGTTTATAGATTCCCCCATATAAACTTAATGGAATCTGTTACATAGAGCAATAATTATTATAAACAACACTCCACGTGTTTCAACTCACCATTTTTATAGGTCAAGGTAAGCTTTGCTGCGCATGCTCAACCGGAAGACAAAAAACTGAGGCCAAACGTGCTCGTCTTCGCGATGGTAAGAGGGTTAATCTTTGAATGATTAGTTTGTCTTATTCTCATATTCAGGGTTAAATGCTTCAAAGAGTTTAATTTAATATTATTAACTGCACGTTATGTCAGTTTAAACCAGCTAAAATTAGTAAATACAGTGAAAAATTACGTTGATTTACTCTACTTGCTTTTCCAATTTCTGCACAACAATTAAACAACATAACACTGACAACAACTTCCAACTAACAGCTCTTGGTGACCAAAACATTGTGAAATATTAGTTTGCCCCTTATATATATTTATATATATGATATGCTTGACTGTTGTTTATTCGTAAAACAATAATGATTCTTTTAGCTGTAGTTTCTCAGTACCAAATACATGTACACATTCTCCTTATTTGCTCTCACAAAATACTCTTTTCTGTCCTGTGTGGCCACAGGGGTGTTAAAATACTAAGTATTTCATCTTTTTTTCAACAAATTGTTCTGACTAAAGCAATGTACCTTATAGTTTTTTGAAGCCAAACGACTTGACAAACACTGAAACAGCAGTATTTTTAATGAAAAGAAAGTGCACCATAGGATCTGCAAAGGAGTATAATGTGTAGCATGAATTTCATGTGTTACTGTATACTATTTTTCTGTCTTCAAGTTTGACCTTACAGATTTAGCATTTAATAGAAAAATGATTAAATTATACGATTTTTAAAACCACGTATCACTTTGTCTTTAATTATAGGCACGAAATTCAGAGAAAGCCATGTAAGTATTTTATTTAAAACGAATGCTTGTGTCTCACATACCTGAAGAGAGATGGAAATTAATAACATTGTATATAGCAATAGAAGAAAATTTAAATAATTACCTTATTGGCTGTTTGAAACAGTTCTTTTAATCAAGCTATTTCCAAAGGAATTTTTGCATATCTTAAGAAATTACCTAAGTTGATTAAACTTTCTAACGGTCCCTAATGGCATATTATATTCCAGGACCAAGCTGGCCAGGTGGAGGGCTGCACACATAGATAATGTGAAGGAGAAGGTGAGGAAACATCTTCCTAGAATTGCCATCTCATTACACATTGGCATACCAGTACATTTGTAAATAGAAAATTGGCCTCTTGACATGTGAAGAGGTTTCTTCTTGTTAAGAACTATGTAATATCTTGGGTTTTTATCTATAGAGTGCAGATTGAGAGCTTGACATCTTTTCACTGCTTTTGTATTTCTACTATAGCAAGTATTCTGATGGATCAGCTTGTCAAACAAGACACCTTTGAGGCCCACCTTTTGTTGTCTGAATGTGCGATTTTGCAAGTGATGGGGGAAAAAAATCAGAAACTAAGATCTTTGCTTTATATGACATGAGCATTTAAAATGAAAATCCATGTTTACTTCAGGAAAGAAGACCGTACCTGACAACAGAATGTGATGATGTACACAAAGCAGAGAAGTTCAGAAGACAGATTATTGGAGAAGTTTCCAGAAAAGTTGCACAGATTCAAAATGGTAAAATTTTATCTAATATTATTTCTCCTTGTTAATACTAATAGACTCCCTTATCGTCTCTTCTTATACCTATGAGATAGATGATGAGTTGCACGCTAAAGGCTGATGTCTCAGTGTGTGAGACATTGGGCTCCAGACTGTTGTTATGGCAACAAGTGATGGACCTCCCAGAGTGCACAGGGGCCAGCTGATATCTCCTCTTTATATTGTATGACTATGTAAATTATTATGGTTTTTAGTAATTGTTACAGTGCATACTATATACACTGTAACGGTAGCAGTGTATATTATGTAAAATCTAAAAGACATTTCAGGGGAACCTAGCATTTGTAACATGTAGTCCCCACTAAATGAACAGGAAGTGGATGTTGTGACATCATTTTATGTCACCAGATTAATTTACCTATTAGACTTACATTCTTGGGCAATGTGGGGGTTCCTATATAATGAGTTACTTAGGCAACAGGCAAATTCAAGGCATCCAGTAAAACTGAAAATTACAAATTTTAGAACTTTTCTCTAGTCTGTACATAGACCACTCAGCAAATCAGAACTTCCAACATTTTTTCAAAAGGTTATTTATAAATGAATGAATATAGATTAATTTTATCAACTTGAGAAGAGTTTCTCATCAGTTGTCACTTCTTGCACTTCAGCTGGTTTGGGCGAGTTTCGTTTGCGGGACCTCAATGATGAAATCAACAAACTATTACGAGAAAAGGGATACTGGGAAGACCGTATTGTTGAACTTGGAGGGCCTGATTACAGGGTATGTATGGAATGAGAGAATCTGTGGTGTGAATTGAAAATAGAATAGTGTACTTAGAATATATCTGAACATATAATATTTTTGAAAAAATTACAGCATGAGCATCAAAGAAGCCCATGTCCCTTTTATAAGCTGTGAAATCTTTAACTAGCTTATTATTGTAATTTCTCATTCTTTGGAATAGATCTGGCACAGTTTGTGTGTGTGCGTTTGTATTTGATTAGTGTTGTTAAAGGTTAAGGACTTTGTAGTGTCTTGGTTTTTTGAGTATGTGAAAGATGCCTTTATTTGGGTATCTTCATTGTTCGCAGAAAACTGGTCCTAAAATGCTTGATGCTGAAGGGAAGGAGGTTCCAGGGAACAAGGGATACAAGTAAGTCTGAAATCAGGGCATTCTAAGGATTTGGTTTAATATCGAAAGAAAAAAATGCTTTTTATTCGACACTGTTGACAAAGTTATAAGAATGTCTATTTATGTACTTATAATGAGTCTAAGAAGTGTTTAAAACAATCATGGTGCTCATGTCATTGATAATGGGTGCTCATGTCATTGATAATGGACCCTCATTTTGCACAAGTAGAAGTCATTGTTTTAAGTGGATAAAATGTGTTTATGAGTTGGTAAACCTTTACTCGTCTGGGACTTCAATAAATATGTGTGCAGTGTTTGCTGATAAAAACTTTGCATTTTGATTTGAATTTAATATTAAATATAGTCACATCAATTTAGTTTCCATTGCTGTAGCTTAACAATAGCAGTTTGTTGGATGCTGATCTTAAGATGTTATGAAATGGTTTTACACAAATGTGTCTGTGTTTTCAGGTACTTTGGTGCTGCCAAAGATTTACCAGGTGTACGGGAGTTGTTTGAACAAGAAGGTGATTTAAGTTTCTTTAAAAAAGTTAATGGGTCAAAATGCCAAATGTTAAAATATCAAATCTTATTGATCTGGCCCCCGTTTCACAAAAAAACTTAAGTCGGTTTCCCCGACTAAGAGCTTGGTTACCAACGTAATTAAGTCGTTACGTCACTAAGTCCCATTTCACAAAGAATCTAAAAGGTCGCTTACGTCGTTTTTTTCTTAGCTGCTAGTCGACGATGTCTAGCCTCCTCAGGAGGAGACTTAAGTCAGCAAGCTCAACTAAAACTCGGTAAATGAGAGCATAAACAACAAAAATTTGGAAAGAACATACCTCCTTCAAGATATTATGTTATAGTGTCCTTGAATAGCACTGACATTTATTGAATATTTAAATAAAAAATGAAATACACCTTCACCCAGCCAATCGCGGGTTTGTTTATGTTTTTGACCGCTAGATGTGTGACAGCTGTGTTCCAAGACAAGCTAATGTTTTACTGTTGCTTTGAAGTTGCATTGAAGTTAAACTAATCAATAAAGTTCAAAAACAAACTTTGTTTACGTTTTGACTGATCTTTATTATTGATAAACGATCGTTCTCGGTCGAAAGAGGCCATGAAACGTCATGTCTTGTGAAACTTAAGAAATTTTACACCTCCTTTTCTTGAAGAGTTTCTCGTGCGCGTCGACTACGGTAAGCACGCCAAGCTAAGGCGTTAGGTTCTTTGTGAAACACTCCTAGTCGACTTCAGCGTAGTCGACCTAGCTAGGCCACCCACCCCAAGCTAGTCGACTACGGATTTGAGATTCTTTGTGAAACTGGGGCCTGAAAAAAAATAAAAGATTTTATCTAGAGTTGGCAAAAATCAAGCATGTGTTACCTGGATTTTTTTTCAGCTCCGCCACCGCCAAGAAAAACCAGATCAGAGTTGATGAAGAATATAGATGCAGATTACTATGGTTACAGAGATGAGGATGATGGTGTTCTGGTACCTCTGGAGCAGGAAATGGAGAAGGAAGGTATGGGGGGAATATTCTAATTCCAGGCTTCCTTTTCTTTCAATTGGATGATTTTACTATAAAAGAAATTCTGAAATAGTGCCTTTCTAGCTTATTGAATATTTTTTTCTTGACAGGAAAAAAAAACACAATGAAAGAAAGCATTTGAATTACACAGCGATGGGTGATAATCTTAGCTTAATGACATCACACTTGTGAATTGTTAGTGGATTTGATGAAAAGGGATGAAAAGATGGGATTTCTTTCAGAAATTGGTTTTGGAATTGAATAAGGAAGTTACTTTAGTGTAAGACAGTCAAGAGTTGGACAAAAAGGACTGTTGTTGCTATGGCAATCAGTGATGGACCTCCCAGGATGCACATGGGCCATCTGAGAACCTTAGTCTTCTGTTTGATTCACTTTTATACATAACTTTCTTTTGGTATAATTTCGTATGCATTTTACAAGTGTCGTTCATAAATAAGCAGTTCTTGTACCATAATATTTATTTGCTATGACTTGCTCTTATTATATTTAACTATTTTTTATCTAGAGATGTCTGAGACATATGGAAAGGAAAAAGATTTCAAATGTATTTGTAAAACTGTATTTTTTCTTATTACCAGTCATAGCCAACAAAGTAGAAGAATGGAAAAAGAAGAAAGAGGCCATCTTGAGAGGCGAGGTACCCCCAGATGACGATGTTGTGACGAAGGAAGAGGATATCTATGCTGTTAATGAACATGAGGTGAACCTTGAATTTGTCTCACTTGATTTGTGATATTGATACATTTAATTAAAGTTAGATTTATTGAACAAATTAGTTGATCAAATTGAATTGTTAAACATAGCAAAGGCCCCACCAATTATTAAAACTAGGGCATCATGACATATTCATTTGGCTGGGATGAATTGAAAAGCGAAGTGCATTTTTAACCCTGTGCTTATTATAATTGCTTCATTAATTGGGGTTTTTCTTCTTTTTTATAAAAATCAGTTTCTTGAATTTTTGGAAATTTTGTCATGAATTTGTGTACTGCAGGTTATATTCCATGTGTTTATTTAATTTATTATAAAGTCTGATGAAGAGGATGAGGTCAGTGCCATGGACACAGGGGAAGGTAGTGGACAAAGCTTCATAGCTCATGTACCTGTTCCATCTCAGAAAGAGGTGAGTCCCCCCTCCTCC